ATTAACCCTTAAATGCATGAATGTTTCGCCAATCATTATTACATATTCGGGTCTTTAGCGATCCAGCACGGAGGGATCTCGAACTGTTGCAATAGAAAAAAACTCTCTTGATATTTTAAGAACAATCACAGAAGAATAAAACAAGGCATATTTCGTTACCTTTTGAAACTTAAAAGGGTTCAATTTGAGCAGATGATTTTACCATCGCTGTCATCCTCAGCGCACTTCCACAGTACATTCAGCATCTGCCTCATATTCGCGATCTCAGCCATATTCTCAAAACTATCGTTTTCAATGACTTCATATTCAATATTTTGATCACTGGCAGCTTATTCACCACATCCAGCATCAAATGGCAGTGACATTTATATTTAATTGCGTATAGTAATTGCTCTGCAGTAAAGCCATTCAAACCACTTCAATTTTTGCTGATGATATTCGTTTGTTTTATGCCTGAGGTAATTATGAGTGAAACGTCACGTCATTATCGTGTATCAAACAGTGCCACCTTGAGGGAAAAAGATGCATTGCCGATATTGAGTCATCAGATATGTAAATATAGTTGCGCAGGAAAAAATACTTACATATTTACATACCTAAGGTCTCTAGCGACCCTATACACTTTTTACAAAAAATTAATCAGAAACTGTGTATATATATACACTATGTATATATATACCGTATATATAATTTCTTTTTTTTTTTTAAGTTACATCCTTGCTAATTTATATGAAATGAAAAATCACATAAACTACTGTCCAAAAGTTTGAGGTCAGTCAGAGTTTTTTAATGTTCTCTTCTAAAAGTCTCTTATGATCACCAGGGCTGCAATTATTGAATCAGAAATACTGTAAAACAATAATATGGAGAAATAGTATTACAATTTAAAATAAATATTTTCTATTTTAATCTTTTAACATTTCATTTGTTCCTGTGATACAAAGCTGAATCTTCGGCAGCCATTACTCCAGTGTCACATGATCCTTCAGAAATCATTCTATAATCATTCTATAAATCTGGTGCTCAAGAAATATTTCAACTTATTATGTCGAAATCAGGTGTTCTGCTTAATATTTTTGTGGAAATCATATATTTTTTCAGGATTCTTTGAAGAATAGAATGTTCAAAAGAACAGCAATTTATTTCAAATCTGATAGTTTGAAATTTGAAAATGATTAATGTCTTACTGTCACTTTTGATCAATTTCATGCATCCTTCCTGGATAAAAGTATTAATTTCTTTCTTACAGACCCCAAACCTTTGAATGGTGGTGTGCATTTAAAATAGTAGTCTAAGCACATCTAGAAATTATGAAGAAATAATTATCTGTTGTGTTTACAATGCAGTTTTATGCAAAAGTTTAGGCACCCCTCTGAGGCTGCATAATAATGTGCTCTTTCTTTATAAGACAAGATCGTAGTGATATGCTATTCAGTTTCTAGAGAAAGCCGGATAATGTTATGTTTTTCAGACAGAAATTCTTAGTGTAGCAGTATTGCATTGTGTGAAATAAGTTTGGGCACCTTCTCAGTTGTGCGGATTTAAATATCTATAGTCACTTAATGCTGATTGATTCAATGAACTTTAACACTGCAAACACAGGTGCACAGCTAATAATGAAAAAGGATATTTAAGGTAGCTGATTGCTAGTTGTGCTTCTCCTTGATCTCTGTGGGGAAAGTAGCAATATGGGAACCTCAAAAGAGATTAGAAATTGAAATTATGATAATTATCAGGGTTGCCCTGATAATTATTAGAAATTGAAATTATGATAATTATCAGGGTTGCCCTGATAACGTTTGCATAAAACTGCAAATTATATCCCCTAACAGATCTACAACATTTCTGCCTGCATACCGTAGTTAATGTTACTGTAGTAAAACCATGATACATTTTCGTAACATGTATGCTTTTAGAAATGTAATCAACTCTTTATCATCATCCCACTGAATTTTAAATAGGCTTTACAGAGCACTTAGAGGAAGTATCAAGTATCATGATGACATACTTGATACATTTTGTCTTTGCAGTGGGACACTGTCACCCCAGCCTCACTCAGGACGCTGCTGCTCAGATGGATCTTCTTAATTCAAACACTAGATTCCTCCACGATAATATAGTTCTGTATGCAGATCGGCTGGCCGCCACTCTGCCAAAGAAACTTTGCGTCTTTTATTTTGTCAACTCGGGGTAAGTAACTCTGATTACACAGATTAAAAGAAATATTCTACAAAATCTTTTTTTTTTTTTACAATGTTTTTATGAAGCAGATTGTAAAATTGCAATATATGCATACCATACATGATAAATAACACAACTTGTAATTATTCTACAAAATCTTATTTGGATTTTTGTCTTCTTCCGAAGATCAGAGGCTAATGATCTTGCCTTGAGACTGGCCCGTCAGTATACCCGACATCAGGATGTCATTGTGCTAGATCAGTAAGGTTTACCTAACTTTTTAAATGTGAAATTGTGAACTGTTATGTTTCTTATATCAGTCGATAATGAAAAAAAGAGCTACATTAGACTTATTTTTGTGTCATCTTTACTTGCCTCTCCAGTGCATATCATGGACATCTCACCTCACTCATCGACATCAGCCCGTACAAGTTCCGGAAACTGGAGGGCCAAAAAGAGTGGGTGCATGTGGTGTGTACAGGACATAGAAACAACTTTTAAACCAATAATTATGACTCTTTGCTACATATCATTCATTCTTGCTTAAATACAGGCACCTCTTCCTGATACTTACCACGGTATCTACCGAGAAGATCATCCTGACCCAGGACAGGCTTATGCAGACACTGTGAAAAGTCTTATTGACGAGGCGCATAAGAAAGGCCGTAAGGTATGGTAGGAAAAGCAAAGTTGTTAAATGTTTTTTACTAAAATATACCGATTGTCCTTCTTAAAGGGATAGTTCACCCAAAATACTCACTCTCATCATGTCATTCTAGATCTGTATGACTTTCTTTCTTGTGTGAAACACAAAAGAAGATATGTCTCAATATTTTTGTCCATGAGGTAAAAGTCAATGGTGACCAGTGTTGATTTGGACCCCATTGACTTTCATTGTACTGACAGAATGTACATTTTTGGGTGAATGATCCCTTTAAAGGGGTCATATGATGTTGCTAAAAAGAACATTATTTTGTGTATTTGGTGTAATGAAATGTGTTTATGCGGTTTAAGGTTAAAAAAACACATTATTTTCCACATACTGTACATTATTGTTTCTCCTCTATGCCCCGCCTTTCTGAAACGCGTCGATTTACAAAGCTGATCGGTCTGAAAAGCGAGGTGTGCTCTGATTGGCCAGCTATCCAGTGCGTTGTGATTGGCCGAATACCTCAAGCGTGTGACGGAAATGCTACGCCCCTTACCATATTGTGATGCCCTGTCAGGCCGGAGCGACGAGACAAAAACATTAAAACCCATTATAAACGAGGCATTTGTTGCATCCAGTGGGAACATACAAAGAGAAATTAAAAACTGAAATCGCATCATATGACCCCTTTAATTTTGTCTGTAGATTTCATCTTTTTTTGCCGAGTCTTTACCCAGTGTTGGTGGCCAGATCATTTTCCCAACTGGTTATTGTAAAAGAATAGCAGAGTAAGTCTCCTTGTCATTTTTATTGAGTGTCTTTACTCTTTATTCAGGAATTAAGCGACACACAGCATTGTATTTTTCCCATCAGATACGTTCGTGAAGCAGGAGGAGTTTATGTGGCAGATGAGATTCAGACAGGCTTCGGTCGTGTTGGGAGTCATTTCTGGGCTTTTCAGCTTCAAGGTGAAGACTTCTGCCCTGATATTGTGACTATGGGCAAACCAATAGGCAATGGTCATCCTATTGCGTGTGTGGCTACTACAGAGGAAATAGCCGCTGCTTTTACAGCCAGTGGTGTGGAGTACTTCAACACAGTGAGAACCATAATGCTTCTGTGATAATATATGTAGCTTGTACATCCTTTGAAGAGTTTAAGTAAATATTTAACCTTTTTGTCCCATGCAGTTTGGTGGTAACCCAGTATCCTGTGCCATTGGTCTGGCAGTGTTGGATGTTATAGAGAAAGAAGACCTCAGAGGCAATGCTGTGCGTGTCGGAGGTCATCTTAAACAGCTGCTCCTTCAACTTCAGACTAAACATCCACTCATCGGAGATGTGCGGTAAGTTCTGAAAATCAATCTTTATTGAGATCTTGTAAAATACTATTGTAACATCATGCTGTAATCTCAAAGAAGAACATTAGCAGACATATCTTCTGTTCTTTTTTGTAGTGGTGTTGGACTGTTTATAGGTATGGAGCTAGTTAAAGACAGAGCGTCCAGAAAACCAGCAACAGAAGAAGCAGCACATCTTGTACGAAGGTACTGACCATTTCTGTTCTTTCTCAACTAGCTACAACTACCTGATAACCAACTGCCCATTTTGATTTGTTTAGGCTGAAAGAGGAACGTATAGTTATGAGCACTGATGGACCGTGGGACAGTGTCATCAAATTCAAACCTCCAATGTGCTTCAGTATTGAGGATGCTGAGAGAGTCTGTACATGCATTGACCAAATTCTCAGAGGTTGGTAGTAAGTTAACAGTTAATTCAGCATGTGGAAACTGATTAATCTGACTTATTTTCATTTTGTTTGAACTTGTTTGTTGTTTGTCTTTGAACTTACAGAACTGGAGCATACCCATCAAAAAGAGGACTGCGGAAGTTGAGGTTTAAAAACATGAAAATAATTTTCAATGTAGTGCATAGAGCAAACATTCTTAAATGAATTTTAATAAATAATTTTCATGTGATTTGCATTCTTGAATATATATCTGTTTATATTCAGAATTCAGTTATAAATACTTACAACAAAAAGGTGACTAAATTCACTCAAAATATTTTCAAAATAAAACTTGGATAAACATATATTAACATGAAATCACACCTCTACATACAGTTTTCCAGGATGTGGTGTAAACAAATTTTAAGATTAGGATTTTAAGGTTTTAATATGCTTTCATACTTTACAGCCATACAACAATATAAATCACTTTAAACCTGATTGTACACATACTCCAGTCTCCATAATCTTTATATTACATTTGTACTCAAATTGTTTTTTATTACATTTGTACTCAGACGTGTTTTGGTTGCATTAAATAATGACACCGATTCTATAATAAATGTGGTTACTGACAAGAAAAGCATGTTTACTCTTTTGTCAATATTTCTGCAAGATATACAAGAATCTTTATAACTGTTTACAAAGTAGTTTAAATGATCTTTTTTAGCCACATAGACTGTATTTGTGATCTCTGGCAGAGAGGAGGGTTTACTGGTATGCAGTTTTATTTTAATTAAAAAAATGAATGATCATTTTACAGTAAATGTTAAATTAATAAATTAACAAAATGTTTTACCTGACTATATTAATTCATACAAAATCATCTTGTGAAGCATCTGGAACCTGAAAGACAATATTTAAATCTTTAAAATAATCCTGAAATTACAAAATGCATGTATGTGTGTGAGCAAGTCTCAATTTGTTACTGCAAAGATTGAGTCCTGAACTTACAGGCTGTCTGGCGTTTCTCAGTTTCTCATATCCCAGTCCCTCCATGACTAGCAGACTGAGAGGAGTTCCTCCCTCTTTTATCAACCTCACCACTTCATCAAAATACTCTGCCTCCACATTCTGTCCATTCACCTCTACAACCACATCTCTCTCACACAACCCTGCTCTCTCTCCTGCACTCCCCATCATCACCTACAGAACAGAAGGAGAATTACATGTGTAAGTTTTTCCAGACATGGAAAGCAATAGTCTGTTATTTTTTCTGTTAATTCTAAAATTGTATATCTTTTAAAAATGCAAAGATAAATATATTATTAATATTCCTATTTTCATCTTATATTTGTATTTAAAAAAAAAGTTATTTACCCACAAAATATAAGCACTGTGATGCTATCAAAATATTATTCTGTTTGAGTATACCAACCCAGCATCAGTTAACCAATGGCCTGAGTTTGGGGGCAGGACTATTATTTGTACAACCAATGGCAGATGAGGGCGTGTTCAGGGAGACTTGTGTGAAAACAGTAATTTTTGCAATAGAGTGCTGAAGGGATGTTCTTGTAGGCTAAAATCCAGAAGCAAGTTAGCATTTTGGCACTTCTGCTTCTGTTTTTTTAATGGGTTTTTGTTTAAATGCCAGAAATAAAACGTGGTTAACAGATTTTAAATAGGACTGTCAGAGACATTAAACGTCATCATGCCAAACAGGAGAAGTCATCTACATACAAGTCAGCTTTTACAGCCTTGTTGTTTTTATAATCACCCTCTTGCAAATTATTTTCACCTGAAGTTTCAGAGAAAATTTATTTTAAATAAAGACAGAAAGAGCAGTCGAAAACGCAATGGTTGTGACACTGACATCATGTGACCATGTTTGTTTATAACCTACATTTACCTTTTTAATTCTGGTGTGATTGTATTCAGGCTTCAAAATTCCTAATTCGTGAAGATATTCAGTGTTAGAATTATAGACTTTTGTTGGTCACAGAGATTATTTTCTGCAATAATCCAAAAGCCAATGGAAAAATCTTTTGGGCTTTTGTAGAAGGAACCTGGATGATTCTAACTTCTGGGGTGGCCTACAAAAAATATGTCATCACTGCTGCACTCTATTCCATTTAAATGTACACAGATGCTTTTTAAATATAAATGCTTACAGTACCTGACCGATATACGTCCCAGGCTTATTCTGAACACAGCCTAGGTTGAAGCCAAATCCCGCACCCTCCTTGTGAAGCACACAAAGTCGAGGGTGCGGTGGATTTTGGTGTCCCTCTTGATGTGGCGGAGGAGGATTAGGAAACTGTTCCCTTTTTGGAGTATGGTCTTCATAGAACAGCAATGGAGAAATGCCCAGCTGAAGTGGATCAAATAACAGACACTCTCTCAGTGATAAATCCAAGCAAATACAACAAGAATAGTGATTCCTTATGTTATCTAGGTCACAGCGACCCCACCCATTCCCAGGGGTCCAATGTCTACTCCAAATAGTAGATTCATTTCATTTTAAAAACACCTGTTTTGGTGTGTACTATAAGAATTAGGAGCTTGAGATTAGGCCCTTGGTTAGCCCTCAGGGTCAAATGTCTTCAGTCAGAGGAAAAATATGTTGATTTAGCAGCTGTTCGCAAGCGGAATGTTATCGCTCCTCTTTTCTGTATGAGCATTTGTGTGTGAAAGCGTGTGCATGCAAGCACCTGTGTGTAATAGTCTCTGCCAGGGACGGAGATGGTGGTTAGGGTGACCTGCTGGCCGCTTTGCCGTATTTTGCTGACGACGGCCTCATGCTCTGCATCCTCCACCTGCTCCCCGTTTACCGCTAGCACAAGCTCTCCGTCCTCCATTCCTGCAGTCTCAGCTGGGCTGCAGGGGTCGATCTCTCGTAATACATGAGCTATAGAGCGAACATATCACAAAGTGATGGCTGCTGAAATGTCTACAGTGTTTTCTAATTATTGGCACATCTAAAAGCATTTACAAAAATGAGTGATGCCATGGACCCCCATATATGATAATCCCTTTGCGAGGGACACTCTTCCTAAAATGTAGGCAGCTATATATTTTGTATTTTATTTTATTTTTTAATTTATATTTTAAATAAAGACCCATTTATATTTTATAAAAAGACCTATTTATACTATGAAAAATATTTATACGGTATATAAATAAAAAGTAAAATGTGTAAAATATTTTCTGGAAATGTATTCTACATACCATTGAAGTAATAAGAGAAACATAAAAGCTATCAATAGAATCAATAGAATAGTAGTCACGTGATTAGTACCAACCAGTCTTTGTAATGATATTTTACTATTATTTTATGTAAATATTAATTAAATATATATTATTAATTAGTCATTAAATTATTGAATACTATATATTTTATTTAACATTTATTATTACATTTATATTTATATTTAACATTAATATTAAATTCTTATTATACCATTTATATTGTTCATTTTTATTTATACTAAATAAAACATATTATATATTTAAAATATTATATTATATTTTTATTTTATTTTATATTGAATACTTATTTATATTTAACACAGTTTTCTCAGAGAAACCCCTGCACTAAAGAACGATATTATTTTAGTATTATTTTTATGCTGTTATAGTTTTTATATTTAGTTTATAATATTTTTAAATAGCTTTTATTTTTATATTCTAGTTTTCCTTTTTTTTCCTTCTTTTTTGATTTTTGATTTTATGATATTTATTTGTGTTAAATGTTTTTTGTCATTTTTAGTAGTTTTATTTTTAATATTACTGTTTAAGCTACATTTATTTTTATTTTTATTTTGGTTTTAGTTTTAGTTCAGGTTTATTTTTTATTTATTTCCAGTTAAAGGGATAGTTCACCCAAAAATGAAAATTTGATGTTTATCTGCTTACACCCAGGGCATCCAAGATGTAGGTGACTTTATTTCTTCAGTAGAACACAAACGAAGATTTTTAACACAAACCGTTGCAGTCTGTCAGTCTTATAATGGAGGTGAATGGGAATCACGGCTAAAACATACAATGAAACAAAAACAAAAAACATTGACACTCTATCTACAATCTCAATTAGGAGTGTCAATGGTCCACTTGAGAGATAGGTGGCGGTAATGCACTTATAAGTCTGCGATCGCAGTAAAGCAAGAAGAAGAAGAAGAAGACGCCTCACGCGCCTGCTGTTGAGAACGCGCTCAGGACAGTTCGAACAGTTCGGACATTGCGTGAATCAGAGGTAAAAAACTATACAAATACTGTTCAGTTTCTGGCACAGACCGATAGTTTTGTGTCTTTACACATCAATGTATCGTCATGAGCCGCAGGGTTTCATTTGGTTTTGTTTGTGTATGGTTTTTTTTTTTTTTATTGTATGTTTTAGCCGTGATTCCCATTCACCTCCATTATAAGACTGACAGACTGCAAAGGTTTGTGTTAAAAATCTTCGTTTGTGTTCTACTGAAGGCACAAAGTCACCTACAGACACCTACATCTTGGATGCCCTGGGGTAAGCAGATAAACATAACATTTTCATTTTTGGGTGAACTATCCCTTTAATTTAATGTTGCAATTTAAACTTATTTCAGTTAGTTGCCAAGACAGCATCTCATCTAATACAGACAGTTTTCCATCTAATATTTATTATATATTAGCTTTCAATGAACAAAAATGTTTTAATAGTTTTAATTTTAGATAATAATAATAATAATAATAATAATAATAACACTGGTAAAGAATCAGCGATTTCTCACCAATACGTCCAGATCGTAACTTCTCTTGCCTTAGGAGGAACCCGTATCCTTGTGGTCCTTGAGTCAGGTATAGTGTTTTTGGTCTGTAGGGTAGATTATGCGTTTTGGCAAAAGCAGGAATTATGGGTATCCCCGTGCGATTATAACAAACTTCACTCCTGCTGTCAATTACCAAGACAGTCACATGGTCTTCACATTTCTTCACCTGATGGAACAAAGTGAAATCTAGTCTTTCTAATGTCCCAAAAACAGAAAGCATCAGAGATTAAAATATAAGGTATTAGATACTATACAAGTGCGCTTACCATTTTTGACAGTGCTGCATAACTAAGTCTTGAAATCATAGCTCCATTGATCCAGATCAGCCTGTCTCCATTCTGGACTCCTGCTCTCTCAGCTGGACCATCAGTCACTGGGCTGAGACGATAACGACCTCGCTCACCTACTCTCACAGTATTGAATAAAATGAACTAGAACTGTCCACAATGATCCATGTATTCATACATTATGATGAAACGCTCTCTGAAGTGAATCAACTACTTTTCTAACATCTCTTATAGGGGAGAAGTTTCTAATTTAGTGTAATTGGACATCATAAAACCTGTGGGTGCATAAATAAACAACAGGCTTATCTAAGAGTGTGTTTACTCTCAACCCATACTGATTTCCTCTGTCCTATGAGTGTACTACTTTTTTCTATAGTGAATGTGTATGGTCAGGGTTATTATAGTTAACAAAAAAAAAAAATTATATATATATATACACTGAACAAAATTATAAACGCAACACTTTTGTTTTTGCCCCCATTTTTCATGAGCTGAACTCATGTTAACTATAATAACCCTACAATACCCTATAATATATTTTAATATATATATAAATAATATTTGAAATAAAACAAATGTTAAATAAAATAAAATAACATAACATAAAATAAAAAATAAAATAAAAATGCAATTAAAATTTAAAATAGAAAAAACTAAATGAATAAAACTATAATAGTAATGATACTTAAAAACTGGTGTAAATACATAAATAAATAAATGCTTTGTAATAATGAAAGCACTGCATTTAAACCCACATGGAAATATATAATGAAAAATACAATATCATTTAAAGTCCTGGATATTACACCTCCAGATGTGTACATATCTTACTGTGCTGATGTATCATAAAAATATTCATGAACAGATACTTAGTCATTTTTTTACTTTTTGGTTTCAGTTTTGTTTACAAAATGTATTGTTGAAAATGAAACAGCCAAATGTGTACAGTAAAGCTGTTGCAGATACAGACAGTAAAATGTGGTGTTGCCATTTTGCCATTTTATTTGGAAAATGTATGTTTCTAAAAGGCAATTCTTTTAAAAATGCTTTTTGTGCTTATTATGTGTTTTTATATATGATGACCCGATATATACCATATATTAATATATGCCCTCTTCTGTGAAAAGTCTTGATAAACTATACATCTTGTTATGTGAATAATAAAATACTAATTTTAATTTAATAAATGTAAAAATGACATCATTCTTAGCTTCAAACATATGTTTAGAAAGGAGCAGTACCTTCAATAGGAATGATGCTGAGGCCCAAGCCACTGCCAGGCTCTTTAGTGATGTAACACAACCGTGGGCGAGAACAGCCCTCAATGGGACGGTAAGCACTGGCGAGCGACATGAGGTCTCTTCCCTCTGAAACCACAAACTCATAATCCTGAGCACTCAGCACTAACAGATATAGCTTCAGCCCAGACGCCTGCACTTTCAGCACCACCTGAAAACAAGGCACAGGTTACACACCTACAAGACTAAATATAATACACAGTAAGGTGTACTGGTGACACGAAAGTGGTGATGAAAAGTTTTCATGCACATGATCTTTACTTAATATCCTAATGATTTTTGCCATAAAAGAAAAATCGATAATTTTGACCCATACAATGTTTTTTTGGCTATTGCTACAAATATACCCCAGCGACTTAAGACTGGTTTTGTGGTTCAGGATCACATATGTGCTACAACATGATGTTAAGTAAATATGAGAGAATTTTTGGGTGAACTATCCCTTTAATGCTTTGCATCTACTTGGCAATATCATTTGTATTCCAGTGTCCATGTGTTTAATTCACAGAATACAAAGGTCTCATGTATGCGTAAGGAAGTGCTCTTACAGTCGAGTGCTCCTTGTCATCCACAAAGTCCTCATTGACCTCCAAAATTCGGTCCCCCTTCTTCAGCCCACCCCGCTCTGCGCTGCTCCAAGGCTCCACCTGGCGCACCACATGTCCCCTGCAGCCAGCGTCCTTACTCAGGTAGAAGCCAAAGCCCTGACCCTCTTCTCGCTTCAGAACACACATCCGCGGATGCACATCAGGCTCTGGAGACAATTCATTCAGTATTCATATGCAGCCTTTTTTTCTTTCAATCGTTAGTCAGTCACTGATTGGATGAAAATGGTTACCTGTGTCATCAGAGATCACTAAAGCAGGGTTGTCAATCCCTTCTTTTGGGTTGAAGGTGAACTTCCTGTGAAAAACATTTGCACTTTGCTGTAAAGTATGTTTTTATGTAAACAAACCAAAAATAAGATAATTTATTGACTAGTTTAAGTAAACCAGATTGCTTATGCAGAATCATTAGTGTGCACATGTAGGATAATCAATCAGAGGTCAAAAGGTCACATTTAAAGAGCATTCTGAAGGCTTACTTTGGTAACTCTGAGGAATCCGCTGGTTCTGTGATAGTAAACAATTAAAAAGTATTAAGAAGGTGATCCATATCTACTCAAACATGTCAGGAGTGATGCAACAACTTTCATAAACAAAAGAAAAAGTCTTCAATACTGTTTAATATTAACCATTGTCTAGTGGCGTGTGACTGGCAACCAGCAATTGCATATTTTTCCCCAAATTTCAGAGGACAAATTGCTTTCATGAAATAATTAAATGGCCGATCTTGAGCCTTAAACGTGTGCAAGTATGCCACATTATTTCAGTTTGCTAATTTCCATGGATCTAAAACCACAAAACATACAGTTCTTGGCGGGGCTTTGTTTCCCATATTTGCCTGTGAGATGCACTGCGAGGCGAAATCTACACAGGCTGCTTTAAGTTAAAATAAATACTAAAGAGTTTGATTACGGACATGTGATTAGAAATCACAAAATGCTGACAAGACTTGAGATCAGAGTTCAAAAGGAAACTCCTCAGTCCTCCAGTGCTTATTTTTGTCTACACTTTTAGTTTTAAAACCTCAAGGGGTGAAATGTTACATTTGTACAAAGGAGCAATGAAGAAATCACTTAATTTACATAAATAAATCTCTGACTGCTGAAAATGATGAAACTTATTACAAAATCTTTAACAAATAATGTTCCAATTGGTCGGATTTTTAGGAGTGTGCATCAATATAAATAAATGTATATAAATACTACTAATAATAATAAATAATGATTACACTGCTAATATATCAGACGTACAGACCATTCTACTACATTCACTTTTTATACAGTACAGGTTGTTGTCTCCACCGCTTTGCAAAAATAAACTCTTTGTAAAAATAAAATCTTAAAATGTCTTTCCTGACTTTTACATTACAGTCTGCACAATCGTTGCAATGGAAAACAATGTGTGTGTGTGTGTGTGTGTGTGTGTGTGTATATATATATATATATATATATACTGTAGTAAATTACCTGTGGTGAATCTCATGATCCTGCTTACCACTGCTGGCCGAGCCCTGGGCTTCGTGAGGGTGCAAGGTACACATTTAAATGAAGCATTAAAATGCTTTAGTCAGTATAGCTCCTCCTTGTTCCACCACAATAACGCACAGGAGATTAATATTTAATCTTAGGTTTATGAGACAACACCTCAACCATAATCAGATCATACATAACAAACTCTTAATTAAGACAACTGACAACAAACTCCACTAAAATAAGACTTGTTCGAGCCGGTAGAAACCTGCAACTTATTTAGCAAAAGTCAAAGCTATACAGTTTGACAAGGAGCCACCTTTCATAAGCACTTTTAGTTTTATTGTGTTGTTATTGCACAGCAAATTTCAGTCACAATTTGTTAGTTCAAACATGTTTTCAATCAAATATTAAGGCAAAAGATATGGTAAGATTGCAGAAGCATCTAAAGCCTTGTCTTGGTTACCTTACTTTGTTAACCTTGTCTAGAGCACCATTTCACACTCAAACATTGTTTAAAGAGTTTAACCATTTACAAAACGGCATAACACTCCTACAATTAATTTATGATAACAAAAAACCCTGAATTCTCCCTGAAAACATGCATAGGAAATGGCTTTTTATGGCAAAAATTGCCATCATGCAACAAGGAGCAGTTTTCAAGTACTTATCTGAAGTATTATGGAGTAGTGCATGTTGATCTTTCCCTCAAACAATTAAATAAAACTAATTTGTCACAGTGTTTTCTCAAAATGACCTAATCAGTATATGGATATGTGAGTAGATGGAAATCCCTTTAAAATCTAACTGGGAAATATTAAGGCTGACTGGATTGAAATATGGCAACAAATTTTCTATGATCGTTACATTATTTTATAGCGGTCCCTGTTCCCGTATCACTGCTCTTTTCCAGTAAGCACAGCGTTTGCCTCACGACGCTCTCCACTCGTCGGAAGTGCATCTTTTTCCAGAAACTCTGGTGCTGTTTGCGACCCCATTCCAGGTCTTTCAGGAAGACCAGCAGTTGCTCGCGTACACGGCCTCTGTCCCATGAAACAGAATTTTTTCCAATAACGCTCAGAATGGGATGCCAGTCCTCTGAGATGTCTGAACCCTCCGTTACAGATGCCAAGACCTTCACCCGCCGGCCCTCCTTGACCCGAGGACCACCACGCACGTACAGCGACTGCTTGCCCACATCGGTAAGCTGGTTCAGGTACAGGCTGAGAGGAAGTATGAGCATAGACATCTATTAACATCAGATGGATTTATAAGAAAGACACATATGATTGAACTATGCAAATGTATTGTTGTACTCACTGTACTGTGTGGATGCTGGGATGTTCACGACAGGCATCGACCAGAGTGAGAGCTGCGCTGTCTCCGATGTTGTTGTAGGCCATATTTAGCTCCTGTAACATCTCATGCTGGCCAAGTCTCTCGGCCAGCAGCTGTGCCGATCGGTCCCCGAGGCCCGTGTGCATCAGACACAGCCGCTGCAGAGAGTGGTTACCAGACAGAGCTTCCAGTAGATGGCTGATGCCGGTGTCCGTCAAGTAGTTGTCACACAACCTGTGATCACAGCAACAGGAAATTCACACAAAAAGCACAAGAAAGACACTTTTTCCTGAATATCATCACAGTGGTTCTTGAGACAAGGGATGAAACTAAAAAAGTAGTGCATGTATCTATTCATTTTTCTGGATTAAACTGTTAAACAACATCATAGTTATAAATGTACATTTAGTAGTAACTTCTTTCTTTTTCTCACAAAATGTTTTTTCTTAGCCTATTAATGTATGGGTCAATACAGTCGAATACTAAAATAATGTGCCAAATTATTTATCATAAATATTGCAAATTTAGCATTTACTTCTAAGAATGAATGGAAAAACAAGTGAAATTTTACATTTTCTAAAAATCACAGACACACATCGTTACCAAAATTTAAAAAAATAAAGAACAAAGCTGAAATGAAATGAAAAACGGACAAACGAAGGATGAAAAACGAAATTATAAATTATAAACAGCTTAGCAACTAACTGAAATAAGTTTATATTTGAAGCACTATAATAAACTGGAAATAAAAACGAAAACTAAACTCAAAAATTAAAACGGAAATAAAAATTAACTAAGCATAAATAGTATATTTACAATATTAAAAAAATAATAAAAATGACAAAAACATCAAACAATTACAAAAAATCAAATCAAATTTAACTAAAACTGAAATAAAAATGGGTTAAACATTAACAGTATATTTGCAATATTAAAAATAATATAAATGACAAAAACACATAACACAATGACTAAAAATGTAAATAAAATTAAAATAAAGACTGAAAATATAAAAACAAAAAAACCTAATTCAAAACTTTAATAAAAACTAATGGTATATAAATAATACTAAAATAAATACACTAATAAATATATACATTTTGGGACATGTTTTTGTCCTGTGTCTCAAGAATCGGTGAAGAGATGCAATGTCACTAACAAATACATTACACAGATTGAGTTTTCCAGCTCCTGTTATTGGTAAACAAACAGAAATGGCTTTTTTTGGCACCTCCTCAACCATGAATATATCACAGTAATAATGTGCTATTGAAAGTAGGCTTACTGTATTGACTTAATAGTACAGTTGGGCTCAAGCAGGAGATCTCGCAGTAGAATGCAGGACTCAGGACCCAGGCTGTTAAACTGGAGACTGTAAACACACAGTGAGCAAAAACACACACACACACGTGCATGCCATTAGTTTGTCGATTTCCCAGGCAGAAAATCAATAACTAATGAGGCAATTGTGCTTATAAGTAATTATTACCAACTGCATACTGCAAGCAAAGCAACCTGAAGGCAAGAACGGAATCCATAATAAAAAGTTGCATGTTAAAGGTCCATTAAGACCACAATATCAAGACCAACCAGTCCTCAGTTGCTGTTACTTTCACTCAATAATATGCAACACATTATAAACTTTTGCGTTATTCATAAAACTTGAGGTCAGTGTATTAGAGGGCATTTCAACTAGTTTCTTTCGAGGATCAAAATTAAAATTAATATAAAAGATAAGTTTGAAAGTGTTCAAAAATTTGGGGTCTGTAAGAAGTTTCTTGTCATCACCTTTTTTGATAAAAAAATACAGTAAAAGACTAATATTGTGAAATATTATTTCAATTTAAAATAGCTGTTTTCTATTTTAATATTTTTTTTTCAGAAATCAATATGCTGATTTGCTGCGCAAGAAACATTTCTTAGTATTATCAATGTTCAAAACAGTTGTGCTGCTTAATATTTTTGGGGGAAACTGATACATTTTTTCAGAATTTTTTAATGTAATGAAAGTTTGAATCTTTTGAAACATTATAAATGTCTTAACTGTCACTTTCGATCATTTTAATGCATTCTTGCTAAATAAAAGTATTACTTTCTTTCAAAAATATATATAAATAAATAAATAAATATTGTGAAAGTTCACCCATAAATTCTTCATTTTCAAAAGCAAAACCAAAACTGAAGGGGGAAAAAAACAGCCCAAGCTGGTTTGCTGGTCTTAGCTGATATCCTAGACTGCTCAGGTTAGTCTGTTGCCTGGTTTAGGGCACTTTTCATCTGGTCATGTTGAGAGAACCAGCTAAGACCAGAAAAACTCAATCTTAGGCTGGTATAGGATGATTATTGTTATTTAGCAGGTAAGTTCTGGGTAGAGAGCATAAATCTAAAACTAATAGTGAAAAATATATTCTAACTATTGGTTTTAAAACAGCAAACTGCTAGTTGATGAGCCCCAAACATGTATTAGTATCAAATTTAGCTATATCTAAAGAGCTTATGAAGTCAGATGTTCAGGATGCTTCAAAGGTTTACAGTTTTATGCATAGAACTACTTGACTCAAGCATGCAAAACATTGACTAGTTTTCTCTATAGTAAGTGCATGTCTCACTTGAGGTTGCTAGTGTGATGGAAGGCTGGCCAGAGCATCTGCAGTAACTCTGGAGTGATGTGGCAGGACGAGAGGTTGAGCTCGTTCAGGTGGAAGCTTGAGCTCGTGCAGCTCAGAACCGTGCTCAGCACGAAGCACTTGTGTGGCGTCATGCGCACAGTCGACAAGTTGATGGTCTTGATGGACTGGAGGACTTCAGCTGTGAGTCGAGGGTTCTGGAACTCATAAAGCAGGACCAGAAGGTCCATGAGCTCCTCAGGAGGCTGCTTCTTCTGGCTCTCCTTGATCAGGTGTTTCCTCAGTGCACGGGTGATCTGCGAAACCGTGTGACTCTTGATGCTGCATCCGAGCTGGTCTAACAGCCTCCGGTTCCCGTAATGAAGAAGTCCACCCATGAAGATAGGGTAGAGCTCAAACGCTCTTGTGTAGGTTTCCTCCTGTGGCTGTGGACCATGCACTCCTAGGAGGCTTTGTTCCACCTGGTCCAAAACATCTTCATTGAAGCTGTCCTCCGAACGAAACATTTCCGCCGCCATGGTGTTCGCGATACGCCCTTTGCTGTGGCTGCTGACTCGCTCAAAGAGTTTTGGGAACAACTTAAGCAAGTTGAAAACGGCGAAGATTCGGAAAGGTATGATTTTGGAGATGATGCTCAGGAGGCTTGTGATGTCCTCACTGGCTTGTCCCAAAGCCTCAGAAACCTCCTTAGTCAACTTCTCCAGGACACTTTTGTTCTCGCCAAGAACGACGTAAAGAGCAGCTAGATATTCCTGCATGGCGGGAACAGCAAACACATAGCGTCTACCACCAGATTCGGGATCCATACCATGATAATCTCGAGGAACCAGAAAGAAGTCAAGCACATCTGTGCGAAACACTGCCAGTTGTTGGAGTTCTTCATCCGTTTTGGTCTTGCCACCAACCCACTGCTCCAGTTCTTCAGCGGAGAACGACGTCCGCTTGTTGGTGATGCCATCAAAAGCTAGTTTACCAACAGTACGGACCACATAGAGCATTAATGAGTTCTGTTGCTCTTGTGAAGAGACGTTTCCATCCACAGTTATCACTTCTCCTCCAAAGTTGAGCCTCATGAAGCTGGTGTAGATGCCAGTGAGGGTTCGAATTGGTGACTTTGTA